GTGAATGTAGCCTAATGCAGGGCTCAAAATTTCAACTCGCCCCCTCGCAAATTGCGAGTGCAAATGAAGCTATTGAGTCTGGCACTGTCACGGACGCAGCTGCACGTCTAGCCATAGATCGGATCTGCAGCTCCTCCTCAGAGCGCAGGAGCTGACTAGGGGAAGCATCCTGGCTGCTTGCACATGCTCAGTGCAAGGTTTCTTTCCCAGAGTGCGAGCATCAGTGTTCCCTGGGCAACCCGGCCGTGGTTTTGAAACCCGAGCTTTCTGCTGTAACTGTAAGTAAACTCTGCAGTCGTTAGAACAGTGATTAACCCCTACTGTGCCACAGGATCTATAAAGGTGCCACAGGATCAATACACACGTATTGATTAATATGAGCAAATGTGTTTGTCTAATGCCCTTTGTGTAATGCCCTGTGTGTAATGCTGCGTGTATGCCCTGTGTGTTATGCTGAGTGTATGCCCTGTGTGTTGTGATGTGCATATGCCCTGCGTGTTGTGATGTGCGTATGCCCTGTGTGTTGTGATGTGCGTATGCCCTGTGTGTTGTGATGTGTGTATGCCCTGCGTGTTGTGTGTATGCCCTGCGTGTTGTGTGTATGCCCTGCGTGTTGTGCTGTGTGTATGCTGTGTAATGCCCTGCATGTTGTGTCGTGTGTGTGTGTTTGTGCTATGCCCGGTATTGGTCCAGCAAGAGAATGATTAGTTTGTTCCCAGGTACACTCAGTACATTTGTGCACAAGAAGGATAGGATGGAGTGGGGTCAAGCAGGGCAACTGGTGGCGAGTAACTTTTAACACCTGGCTAGTAGCTCAGGGCCTGAAATTTTGAGCCCTGGCCTAATGGGAATTACATGCCTCCCACTCCACTCCAAGCCAGCGTTCACAGAGCGCTGGCCGAAAGGATCCGAATGCCAGCGCTGATTCAGCTACACGGTCTGCATCCGACAGAGATGCAGACCGTGTAGCTGCTCCAGCAAGTCAGGTGCGCGTACCTGACTTCTGAGCTGACAGTGGGTCACAAAGTACCGGCTCGCGGGCCGGTACATTGAGACCCTGGCATTTTTGCCACCCCCCTGGAATCTGCCGCCTGAGGCAAACGCATTATTTGCCTCGCGGCAGATACGCCCCTGAGCATACTTGTCCTATATGTTCATTCAGGTAAATTGTGCTCATGAAATGGCATAGCCAGGTTTACACCTCCTGACAGGTCCATACCTCTGTTAAAAGGCTATTCTGGTTGCCTGTTGTAGCATTTAGACTGATGTTGCTAGGGAGTGCTTCCATGTAATATATTAATATGTTTATTTCCTTATGATTATTAGTTGGTCTGGTATATTTTTATAATACAGTTTTATTAATAACTTTGGACACTACTGTACATATTGTATTAAACTGTACTTGTACTTATGCAAATTTGTTTTTACTTAACAAAGTGGCACTAAAATGTGAATATAAGTATTTCTGTATGCCTCTAAGTGTATGATCTAAGTAGATGTTCTGTTCCCTAATTTGCTAGAACAGGGGTGATGAAGTGTGAAACTATTGTTCTTGTAGTGTTGTGATCTTGGCAACTGTAATTCTGTAATAGGACTCTATTGTTTGAAAAGGATTATAGGTCTCTTTGTATTTGCTTATTCCATCTGTTTGTTTGTATCAAAACCTTCTGAAAATGGCAACTGAATTAAATATATTTTTTCTTTAGTTTCTCCTGCATAGCTATTTCTTTTGCAATACACCTTTAGGGAACATGTGAAAAAGAGGTTTACCTAAAGCAAGTCTACAACTAACGCTATTGTTGCTTGCTGTGTGCAGAGAGCACCAAAGAGGATGGGGAAGTGGTAGATTAAAAAGTACTTCACCAATAATATTTGCATTCTTCATCATCCTTGGTGTAACTGGATGCGTGGCATCAATGTCTTCATCGCATATATACTCTGCTGAAAGTTTATTTTTTTAGGGATGTATGCCCTTGCATGCCAGCTTGGGGCACGCAGTGCTGGAAAGTGATGTTGACTGCAGTTGGCTCTGTCTGTTTCCTAATGAACTGTTGGCAATCCTGATTCTCAATGTGTGCAGTGAGTGCACAGTGAGCCTTGGGGCCTCTGTGCACGGCACACATTACAGATACATCACTGCACTTACATAGATTTGTATGATTGGCTAGCAGGAGGCTAATCACAAAAGAAGCCAGACTGGGGTTTTAATACAAGAATTAGGATACTGCAGAAGATACAGCAGTGTAAAATTGGCCAGCAGCAGGATACATTTAATCAGCGATAATAGGCCTAACTGGTGTAACTTGTATTTATCTATGGCAATAGAGGGGTTCATTTAAATTCAGTGATATAATTTAAGGTTTATTTGCACACTGTTCTTGCCCCTATTTTTTTTTCCTTTCAAATGATGCAGCAGTGTGCTGCAAGCAAAAGGCAGATTAGCAAACAGATAGTCAGTGACAAGTGAATCCTCTTCTTTAAGCACCCCAAATTTAAAAGACCCTATCAACATAAACAAAATGTAAAAAAATTGAAGATAAATGAAAACCCTAAAACACCACCGTGAAACAAAAGCTCGCTTTTTCAAAGGGATGATATGCAGCAGAAAAAAATGCAGGTTAACCTAAAAATTTTCCCTATCAATATACAATATCAAAACGTTTTTGTTTGCTATGGAGGTTGCTAAAAGTGACTGCTGATCTCAAATTAATAATAAAATGAAAGACAAACAAAATCTAATAATAACAAAAAAAAGACAGCAAAGGGGTATATTGCCCAAAGAGCTAGCACTCTGCAATAGTTGAAATACTCTGAAAATAGTTGGGAAAAATGTATTTCGTCTTAATGGAGAATCCCTATCCCAAACAGATATTTTTTTCTGAGAGGTTTTTGAGTGCTGCAAAGTGAATAAGGTTCACCTCATTGATTAAAACACACATTCCACAGTATGTAAAAGGCAAACGGCTAACAAAGCTAAACAATATATACTATGAACATATATATTATAGCCCTAAAACCTTTTTATATTCACATATCAATGTTAATGATAACTTAAATCTTTGTAAATGATAAAAGGTCTTTTAGTGTGCATGGCTATACTTACAATTGGCCAATACATACAATTCAATACCCGCCATTTTGAAATGCAGTGAAAGACAATTCACTTAAAGGAGAACTATGAGATGAGCGATTTCCACTCACCTCATAGTTCTAGCCGACCTGTGACAAAACTGACCCCATAGTTCTACTTTAACAAAAAAGTTGTCCACTTTGGAAAGTGAATGTTAATGAATATATTGAATGTTTATATTGAATTAATATAGTGCAGTGGTGTTCCTTTTAATTACCTAATGTGCTATATCCCAAGTGAGCTTCCTACTAGAGTTGCAGCTACCTAATTTAAGCCCTTAATCCATAAACCATGATAAAATATGCTCTTATTGGGGTCTTTCTGGCTCTGAACCTCTAACACCTTCCTTAATAGCACTACTATTAAAAATGTTAAAAGAACAAGGTAAAGGTGTTCAGAACCACTAAAATGTAAGTAAGGGGCCCATAGGATGTAACCAGAATGTTAAATAACAGTCTATCAGAACACCAGGCTCGTAATGCAGAGAGGAAAAGATGCAGGTAGCATGCCCATGAGTTTTATGGGAACAATATTCATGAAAAGGGATATATATATATATACATATACATACTCTCCAACAATTAGGACCAAATGGGACCAAAAATATGTTGGAAATAAAGACAGTCTCAGCATAGATCTGTGTTAACTTTGGTTTTAAATGTCCCTGCTAACACTAGCAGAGTTATTCACTAAAGGGTGAAGAGTTTGGAGAAGGCAGGAAAAGTGAACAGATCTCCAATTCAGCTAATTTTCCAGTTCAGCTATGTTGTCCTAGATTGTTCACTTCTCCTGCCTTCTCCAAACTCTTCACCCTGCTGTGAATAACCCTGTAGGTGTTAGAATATTTAAATGCATAATGAAAAAAAATTCAGGTACACTATATTGCCAAAAGTATTGGGACACCCCTCCAAATCATTGGATTCAGGTGTTCCGTGAAATTCCTTGCTACTAAATATTCCACGGTCAACTGTTAGTGGTAATATAACAAAGTGGAAGCAACTGTGAACAACAGCAACTCAGCCACGAAGTGGCTGCAGAATCAATAGCTACAGACCTCCAAACCTCGTGTGGCCTTCAGATTGACACAACAACAGTGCGTAGAGAGCTTCATGGAATGGGTTTCCATGGCCGAGCAGCTGCATCCAAGCCTTACATCACCAGTGGTGTAAAGCACGCTGCCACTGGACTCTAGAGAAGTGGAGACGTGTTCTCTGGAGTGACGAATCAAGCTTCTCTGTCTGGAAATCCGATGGACGTGTCTGGGTTTGGCGGTTTATAGGAGAACAGTACAGTGTGGGGTTGTTTTTCAGGGTTTGGGCTTGGCCCCTTAGTTCCAGTGAAGGGAACTCTTAAGGCATCAGCATACCAAGACATTTTGGACAATTTCATGCTCCCAATGTTGTGGGAACAGTTTGGGGATGGCCCCTTCCTGTTCCTACATGACTGCGCACCAGTGCACAAAGCAAGGTCCATAAAGACATGGGTGAGCGAGTTTGGGGTGGAGGAACTTGACTGGCCTGCACAGAGTCCTGACCTCAACCGGATAGCACATCTTTGGGATGAATTAGAGCAGAGACTGCGAGCCTGGCCTTCTCGTCCAGCATGAGAACCTGATCTCACAAATGCGCTTCTGGAAGAATGGTCAAACATTGCCATAGACACACTCCTAAACCTTGTGGACAGCCTTCCCAGAAGAGTTGAAGCTGTTATAGCTGTAAAGGGTGGGCCAACTCAATATTGAACCCTACAGACTAAGACTGGGATGCCATTAAAGTTTGTGTGTGTAAAGGCAGGCACCCAATACTTTTGGTAATATAATGTATTTTCAAGACATTACTAAGTTTTTTATTTTTTCCTTTTTTTCATGTAGGTGAATAAAACCATGTATCAGCCGGAACCAGATAAAGGATATCCACCATTAGCACCTTACCCGCAGCCAGGTTGGTATATAAAAATATATTTATAAGAATGATGCCTAATCTGTCTAGTTATTGGTGGCTATAAGGGACTTGATACATCCTCCACTATGATTAAAAGTAAGGATTCAAGTGTTTAGGACTACCTAAGGGACTAATATCAAGCCAACTGCTATGAACTGTCACAATGTACCATATTGAAAAGAGGAAAGAGACATGCTAATATTGGGCTGCTTCTGTCCATCGAAATGGGAAGGACAAACAGTGGTAGGTCCTGGTGCTACATAGGATTGGCAGATCTCTCCGTGACTGTCATTCTTAGAGAACCTTCTGTCTGTCTATGACCTGCTTATCGCAGACAAAGTATAATAATCCTGTACGTGATTTAGTAAAGAGCAAGACATAATGTGATTACATATCACTGTTCCCATGATTCCTTATACACATGTAAATTGTTTGCGCCCACATATCAGGATTCTCAGACTCAAGCTCATTAAGTTTACAGGAATATAGTAAATGCTAAGAAGTAGTATTGTATGCACTGTCCACATTGGTGCACACATTACAAGGGATAATTATTTTCATTTTTTTTACCAATGAAAAACAGATTTTAAATAACAGACAACACAAGCTTCCGCTTATTCACTTCCCAGACTTGGTTAGTCCAGGGCTAGATAACAAAAGAATAGGGAACTGGAGGGTAATCTAACAAATACACTGGCTCGGTTGCCCTTTTATCAGTAAACTGATACAGTGGGGTTGATTTACTAACCTTATAAACACGCCACGAACAAGTATACACCTCTGTAGTGTGTTCCCTCCCAGCATGATCTATTGGTGGAATCTAGACACCTTTGTAGTGTGTACACACCCAGCAGGTGTGTTGTGCAAAGCCCGGCATGAATTACAAGGTGATTTTGTGTAAATTAGCTCTATGTTGTGTTGCTTGCGTTGATGAATGCAGGAATGTAAATGCATGAGCTAACCATTTTTGTCTAAACTGTGAAGCAGCATAATATATGCATCATGTGCATGATTTTTCCATATATGGCATTAGTGGAAATATGCTTTTAGAGACTTTTTGGTTGATAAATACGTTTTGCTGTGTAAAAATAACACGCACCTAGTGCGTGCGTGTGTTTAGGTTAGTAAATCACCCCCAATAGACCTGATTTCTCTAGGTTGGTTGCTACATTGAAAATGGTAAATTGTTTACTATTATGACATGTGATAACACTGCTTGACTCATAAAAGATCGAAACATTTTATGTGCAATTGAGGCATAATATTTTCTCTTTTTTTTTTACTCATAAAGTGGACCTTTACCCACTTTGACTGGAAATCGCATCATCATACAGCTCTGCATGCTGATATGAAATCATCTTACATTTATTAGCTAAACAAGCATATTTTTATTTTACTTACAATTTCTTTTTTTCTATTTCCTGGTCCACTTTGGCACCAATGATGTAATCATACACAATCATTCCATCCTGGGAAGGTTACATCAGCAGAGCATTGCTGAGAAATCTCATCTGTAATCTTATGAGATCTCAGGGAAAGGCATTTTCCTCCCCTGAGATGATGTACATGGTCACATATCCTAGTCACACGTACCAGAGTTCTAGGAAGTAAAGGGAGATATAGCCTTAGTTAAAAGTAAAGCCTAATCTACCCTTAGTTAAAATGGCCACTGTCAGAAGACTGACGGAAGAGAAAAAAAATTAGGTATGCCAAACATTTAAAAAACTGCAATTATCTAGAAGTATCTGTTTGTAGATTGTCATTACTAAACCTTTCTAAAGGTATCATTTTTGTTATTTTGAAGATGTGGGTAAAGTTCCTCTTTAAAAAAAAAACAACTGAGTTTGAGGTTTAAAGGATAAATTAGCTTTTGCTGGAAAAATCAGTGTCAGTAAACCTAATCAAAAAGATTACTTCTCTGTATCATATAACAGTTGCCCATGTCTGGCTAGTGACTACACATTCAACACTCCTTTTTTCCGTTAAAATTAATGCATAGTGGTTATGTTTGCATTTTCTTTTTTATGATGGCCAGGACTAAAACAATATGGGGTCTATTCGCAAAGCTGCCGAAAGATCTAGCCATAGCTTCGGCTGATCCTTCGGCTAGCTTCGGCCCCAGGACCCCTTCGGTTCTACGGGCTATTCACTATAGCCCGTATAGCTACCGAAGTTGGCTGAGCGACTCAGTCAAGCCGAAGGCATATGTTCCGGCTCGATTGAGTCGAGGTGAAAGCAGAAGCTGGCCAAATGGCCGGCCACTCGCCGGCCGACAGCCTACTATTGACAGCTGGGCGGAGCCAGCCGTCATCTCCCGGCTGGCTCTGGCCACTTGCAGAGACAGATCAGTGATTTGTCTTTACCAGACATCCCAACTCTCACCCGGACGCTCAGGGAGTCTTCCGCTATTAGTTAGCAGCTCCTGGCCGCCCGGGAGAGAAACACTTTCTCCCAGAAAGGTTTACTCTGCTCGATTGAGCAGAGTAGACCTTTCCCTGGTCTGTTTTTTTTTTTTTTCTTCTGACATTGGAGCCACTTGCCGCCGGCAGTCAGAAAGAAAAAACAGCATAGGAATGCATAGCTACATGGCTATTTCATTTTGCAATAGCCAATAGCAAACTAGCTATTGCACCCGCCCACTGCTGCTGTCAATTAGCAGAGAGGACCTGAAGTTCTCCATCAGGTCCTCTTCTAGTGATTGACAGCAGCAGAGGGCGGGTGCAATAGCCAGCTTGCTATTGGATATTGCCAATAGGAATCTAGCTATGCATTCCTATGCTGACTGTTTTTTGTTTTTTTTTATTTATTTATTCTGAAGCAGCTGTCAGAATACTAAAAAAAAAAACTTGCAGATAGCAAAGAAGCTATTGCTTCCTGTGCTATCTGCCATCATTTCAGGGGGGTGCTCTCTCCCCCCTGCATTACAATGAGAGCTTAACAGAGCCGGAGGTGATATTAAAGCTGACTCTGCTGAGCTCTCATGGTACTGACAGTTCAGCGTCCCCTGGTTTCTTTAGATATCTAGTCCTAGACGTGGTGAATGCTTCAGTGTTCTCTTTATGGCACCACAGCACACAATATGTTGTCTGCACATCATTCAGCTTCACAAAGTTGTCTATGTTAACATTCTTGCAGTATAGCACAAACTATGCATATGTCACGTTATGCAAGAACGTCAGTAAAGATAATTTTCTGAAGCTGAATGGTGTGCGTACAACATATCTTATATTAAATGTTCTAATTCAAGAGACCACTAAAATAAATTAGCATATAAATGTAACCGTTGTTATCCCCATACTTTTAATGGTGACATTTATATGCTTATTCCCACTAGAGGTCTTTTACATTGTAGCATTGTATCACCTTACTAACATGTATTTGCTTTCCGGGTTTCTTCATCTATTGGTCCTAATGCAGTGTTTTCTGTACATTTGACTAGAAGAGAAAATACCCCAAAAATATTCATATTTTCCCCAGTCGGGTGGCAGGCTCTTGGGCATGTCTTTTAATATGGTTTCTCTTAACAGATATATCACAGTAAGGGCCTTTTCACCTTATAGTGTAATCCATGTGTTGAGTGTATGCTATTGCACAGAGCATGATACCACATACTAGATGCGCTGGTGCATTGCACTGCAATTGAGTCCCAACACAGTGCCCAGCAGGCGGGCGTTACAGCAACACGCGGCACCCCAAAACATGCTTTATGTTGCTGTTTGTGGAAAAAAAGTAATGCATATGCTACTTTTTTTCAGCACACGGCAATGCACAGTGTTGCTCGGTGCTGCAACACAAATCCGACAGGAGGTTCATCAATTGCAATGCATCAGTGCACCTAGCATGTGGTACCGGGTGCTAGCATTCACTAAACACATTGATCCCATGTGTTTGTGCAAGGTTATAGTATTATCATGCCTGAACAAGATATTGTACTTAAAGGAGAACTATGGGGTCAGGGCTTTTTCCCATAGTTCTCCTTAGGGTAACGGGAGGACACAAACTAGCGTCCTCCCATCACCCTAGGCTCAGTATACCGCGAGCTACAGACACCGCAGCCGGAGCAGATCCTGACATCGATGTTGAGATCTGCCCAGCTGCGTGAGTGAGCAGGCTCTGCCTATCTAGAGGCAGAGCCAGCTGTACCCTCCCCTGTCCGTTCCGCCAGTCAGCGCTGGCGGATCGGAGTGGGGAGAGGGGAATCCAGCCCCTCCCCTGTCACGGCAGAGAGCCGTGACAGGATCAAGAGGTGAGCGAACGCCGGTATGTGTTCGCTCACCTCCCGATCTACTGAGCCGACCTGTGACAGTCTCATTGTCACAGGTCGGCTAGAACTATGAGGTGAGTGAAAAGCACTCACCTCATAGTTCTCCTTTAATGAAAGAGAATATCTAGGGGAGATTACAGGTAGCCGATGTTCTCCAGACTGCTCTCTTATAAACAAATTAAGGCAAGCAGGCTCTGTTTTCAGTGGAAATAAATAATTTAAGCAGAGGTAATTCAACTCTAGCTAAAAGAGTATATTCAGTGCATTAAAAACAAGCCACTGAGTTTGTATAGTAATGCCCATAGCGTAAGTACCTGTGAGATGAAGCAATGGGCTGAATCTGTAAGCGATCCTACTTGGAAGCTGGACCTTATTTTTGTAATCCAATGCTGACATTTAGGTGATCAAAAAGTATTCTCAGTTTTTTACAAAAACATTAACTTGTGGCCCAAAGCTTTTTAAGCAAGTACCAATATCCTGTTATTGTTATGTTGACTGTTTCTTGATTGTTTTAAAAAGCATACAGATTTTGATGTGAACTTGCAATACAATGTATAGGACTTTTGCAGTATTGGAACACATAAAAATACTGTTAAACATTACTATTAGTTCATTTAAAATAATTTGTATATTTACAATGTGCATTAATTTTCTTTTGTAAAGGTGTAGGAGCTGCCTATCCACCCCCTCCAGCCTATGGACCACCTCAACCAACAGGTAAAGCTATATAGTCATTGTTATCACCTGCATTCATTAGAGAGTGAGAGAGAAAGTGAGAAAAAAGAGGCTCTTGCAGGTGATTTCAGATGAGGAAACATGAAAGCTTTTTTATTAGGACAGTGCCCCACCTAAACATATGTAATTATGACAGTTTGTTACTTCACCTTAAAAGAATTGCAAGTGCCTTAAGGTGCCCATACACCTGCCGATTATCGTAGATCATCGCGGGAAATCCCGCGATCGTATGATAATCGGCAGGTGTATGGAAGGCGTGCGACCGTTTCTACTGTACGGTCGCACGTTTTTTGTCTTACGAGCATGTTTGAAAACCAGCCAAAATCGTAAGATTTTAGGCAGGTTTGTGGCCTGCTGGTAAGACACATGCTACACGGGCAGGTGTGCGCAAGCGCGCACACTGCTCGTTCAGCATTGCAGTCATAGGATGATCGCAAGTACAATCTGCCTGTCCAAGATAGGCAGATCGTACGTTTTTTTAATTACCGTGCAACCATCGCAGGACTATAGTCTTGCGATGGCTGTAAGGTGTATGGCCAGCTTTACTGTGTTATGCTTTACATGCATTCTGGTACGCTCCAGAGCAAAAAAAATAGTGCATGCAGTATTTTTTTCCCCCCGCACAGAAATGGACAGCACTGGTGTGAACAGAGCACAGAAATACCAAAAAGCGCTCTGGTCTGGATCTTGTCAGGACGTGGTGTGAACAAGCCCTTAAAGCTGGTCATATACCTATAAATTATCTGCAGATTTTCTATGGTAAGATGGAAAAAGTGCAACAGATTCCTCCATCTACGCTAAACTGTGTGGATGGGGGAATCTCCCACTGGGCCAAGCTTCAGTATCTTGCTAGTCAGCCCCGCTGGCTGTCAAAATATCTGAACAATCTGACTGGATGAACAATCTGACTGGATGCAGGCATTGTTCAGGTATTTTGAGAGCCAGCAGTGCCGACTAGCAAGATACTAAAGCTTGCTCCAGTGGGAGATTCCTCCATCCACACAGTTTAGCATAGATGGAGGACTCTGTTGCACTTTTTCCATCTAACCATAGAAAATCTGCAGATAATCTATAGGTGTATGGCCAGTTTAGGCATGACTGCAATAATCATTTATTGCTTGCTCAAAGAACTGTTGTAATTGATTTCCTGCTGTAAAAGTTAATGGATAGCTGGATAAGGTCCCACTGATCACACGCAGCCCAGCCACACCCCTCTTAAGGAAAAGGGTTAAAATTATATAAAATGCTGCTTCCCCAAGAACATGCAAGGATGATATTTACGCTCATCACAAAATCGTAAAATTCTCAGTCAAGGTTGTTTAGTTGCTCAGAGATTACAAACCTCTGTAAACAGCACAATTATCAGTTCAAGTCCCCACTAGCCCCACTTGACATCCTAATTATATTCTCATTATTTATTCATATTCTGTTTACCTGCATGTATTGTCATGTAACACTGAAAGAGAAAAAAGCTCTCCTAAAATAAAAAAGTAAACTTTTACTTTAAGTCCTACTCTTATACATTAAAAGTAAATTTCCACCTTAAAAAAATTATTAATGCACACATCTTCATAAAAGAAAAATGTGCTTTATCATTTTTTTTTTTTTATAGGAGCCAGTGAGGCATTGCAACTGCAATCCTCTGACTACTGCAGACTCTTTCTCCTGTCCCTGTCTGTACCGAGTACTTACATTCAGTAACGGGGATGAAAACTACAAGTCCCTCGGCCACGGTGGCTGACTTGTAGCTACTTCTGGTGTTCATTTTTGAAAATGACGTGACTCTGCCCACAGAGCCGCATCATCCATTCATAGATCCTTTGACATGATCTGTGAATGGATGACGCAGCTGTGTGAGTGGAGCCAAACACAGTCTTGCCATTTTAAAAAATCAACACCAGCTTGCGCCGAGAAGAACCCCACAGTCTGGTGACCACATAAATATGTCTAATGGCTTATAAATAAAAAGTATCAAGGACCTATAACATAAAAATATAATAATACACTATAGCAATGGGAATCTGTGCTGTTTACCTAAATAATAGAATAATATAATAATAATATTAATAATATTGTCTCAGTGTAAGTTTTTTTTTAAAAATAAATAAAAAAAACCATTGCAATGTATTTTAAAACTGTAAATGGACAAACTGCACCGAACTGCAGATTTCCCACTTCCCCTGTGTGGTATAAGAGTAAACTATACAAAAAGAAAAAACAGATATTCTAATCCATTTTGAATTGAATATCGCATAGAAGTGACTTTTCTTATTTGGAGCGTATTATACTGGAACTCCCAATTTTCTGAGATAAGAGGGACGCCATATAGTACAAATGCCAATGCGGGGCCAAAAAACCCCCATTCTGTTTTAAAAGTAGCTCATTTTTGAACTTTTGAGTTGCAAGCGTCTGAGAACTCATATATGAACAAGTTCAATTGAAAAGCACAGGATTTCAGTTGTTGAGCATGTAGAAGCTTTGAGCTTCAAACTTCAGAACGCTCAGCTATGAATCAAGGTTTAAGGGCAGACCCTTAAGGGCAAAGTTGAAGACCAAACGTAAAGTTGAACATAATGCATGGTTTCATGATGCATTGAAGTATCAGGTGGTATTTGTATATTGCCATGTAGTGAATTTGTCCATTTACAATTGTGTAGTACATTTCAAATGATGTTATTACTGGTGATGACTTATATTAAGAGACTTTTCTGACACACTTAGACCAATAATTTAGATAAGCAAATTACAGATGTTTAGTATTAAGTTTTATTCCACTGAAATCATCATATCATGATATTTGTAGCAGCAGTCCTTACACAGACCTTGAACTTTGTATCCCTAACATATATTTGCTGTATATAGGCATTGGGTTATATTGGTGTAAAAGGGATAGGACCAACAGGGTAATTTTGTGGGGGTTTTTTCTTTCTCTGCAGTTGTTATGGCTCCTGTATCCACAACAGTGGTAATGGCAACCTCATTTTCTGATAGACCTACATCTTGCATGTGTCCAGTTTGTCGCCAGAACGTAGTGACAAGAGTGGAATATAACTCAGGACTCCTTGCCTGGCTTATCTGTGGCATTCTGGTTTTATTTGGGTAAGTATCACAAAGCTATTCATTTACCAAATGTAAGAATAAGTGTACAAATAAAAAATGGTTATTTAATAGTAATAAAACAAATCCCTGCTTTCAAAGCATACAATATTTCTGAGCTTAAAGCTGAACTCCGAGCAAACAGACAAATACATGTAATACATGTAAAGGGGGCTGCTTTATTTGTCTGGGGGATTTGTGTTTCTGTCCCTAAACACCTGAGTTTTACACAGCTCTGCAACACAGAACAGTCCTGTCTGGCAGGGAAGAAGACCTGATTGTACTCTGCTGCAATTAAGAAACACTTACATGTCTTCTCCCTCACCTAGTCTGTGATTGTATAGTGAAAGAAGCAGCAAATAATGAGCTCATATCTCTTTCACTCTACTTTCTCCTCCTATAATAGTTACATATACAGTAGTTGTTACAGTTGAATAAAGACACTGGTCCACTGAGTTCAACCTTTGGGTTTTGTGTGCATGTGTTGGTGTGTGTGTCTGTGTGTGTTTGTTACTAAGATTACCTGAAAACCTGTATATCTTGTGCGCTGAGAAAAATATCTAGATAGTTCTTGAATGAATCCATACTCTCAGCTAATACCACTGTTTGTGGAACAGAGTTCCACAATTTTTTAGCTCTCACAGTAAATAATCCCCTTCGCTGTTTAAGAGTAAACCTTTTCTCTTCCAGTTTAAGGTGATGGCTTCTTGTATTCTTGACTGAACTGACAGTGAACGGTTTATTACTGATTATCCCATCACCATTAAACAATTTGTAGATTGATATAATTTCCCCTCTCAGTCTCCTCTTTTCAAGACTGAACAAGTTCAACGCTCGCAGTCTTTCCTTATAGCTTAGGTCCTCTATCCCCTTTATTAGTTTTGTTGCCCTTCTCTGGACTATTTCCGGCTCAAGGACATCCTTTCCATGGATCGGAGACCAAAACTGAATCTTTGACTCAAGATGTGGCCTACCCAGTGTTTTGTTCAGGGGCAGAATTATGGATTTTTCTTTACAGTACACTCCCATTTTTATACATGATGGTACCCTGTTTGCCTTATTTGCTGCTGCCTGGCTTTGCATGCTGTTACTAAGGCAACTGTCCACTCAGACTCCCAAATCTTTTTCCACCTCTGATTCCTCCAGTGGAACACCCATTAATGAGTAGCTCGCTTTCATATTTTTAACTCCAAAATACATACCCTTACACTTCTCAATATTAAACCTCATCTGCCATGTAGATGCTCTCCCCCAAAAATGTATGTCTTCTGTCGAGTTAACTACCCTACAAATTTTGGTATCATCAGCAAAAATTGAAATATTGCTATTATGATTAGTCCCGATATCATTGATAAACAGGTTGAACAGCAATGGCCCTAAGACAGAACCCTGTGGCACACCACTGTCAACTGAGGACTATTCAGGAAATTAGACATTTATTGATACTCTCTGGACCCGTTCACTTAGCCATTTCTCTATCCAAGTACACACAATTTCATCAATGCTCAAAGCTTGAAGCTTGTAAATTAAAAATTTATAAGGTATCGTATCAAATGCTTTTTCAAAATCAAGGTACACTACATCCACTGGCTTTCCTCTGTCTAGGTTGCCACTCACCTCCTTATAGAACGCTAATAGGTTGGTTTGAAATGAACGATCTTTCCTGCAGCCATGTTGGTTGTCACTTATGATACCATGCCCATCAGCATATTCATGAATATGGTCCTTTATCATACCCTTAAATAACTTGCATACCATGAATGTTAAGCTGACTGGTCTATAAATCCCAGGTACGTGTCTCAACCTTTTTTTTAAATATTGGTACAACAGTTGCTTTACGCCAGTCAGCTGGTTCCTCCCCACTCAGTATGGAGTACTTAAAAATTAGGAACAATGGCCTCGCTATTATCGTACTTACTCTTTAACCACTTCAAGACCAGGTGTTTAGACCCCCTTCCTGGCCAGGCCATTTTTCAGTACCGCTTTCCCAAGTACTGTGGAGAAGAATGCATTTAACACTTCGGCCATCTCCCTGTCATTTGTAAATAACCTTTCATTCTCATCCTTTATGGGACCCAGCATTCTCCTTGTTAGCATATGAGCACTGTAGCACAGCTGACTGGCTGCTTGTGCTACTTCTACTTCTCCCAGCTTTGCAAGAGGCTGCTACCAATTCAAATTCAGGTATCTGCATTTAAAAATACATTAATGTAGGGGTGCGGAAATTAACGATTAATCCGTCGATTAATCGTTAATTTCTTTGATCGATCAAAATTATTTTGATCGATCAAAGTACTCACCTCTCCGCCGGCTTCCGTCAGAGTGGCTCTGTCTGCTATCCAAGGGAAGGGGGGAGGAGTCGGGTAATGTAGTTGTCCGTGATGGGTAACGAAGGGAAGGAGGGAGGAGTCCGTTGACGTCGATGTCCGTGACGTCACCGGACTCCTCCCACTTCCCTTCGTTACCTGAACGGAATCACTTGGGTCGGTGCTACATGCACCCCCCCCAACTCCGCTCTATACTACATGCACCCCCCAACTCTGCTCTGTGCTACATGCACCCCCAACTCTGCTCTGTGCTACATGCACCCCCCAACTCTGCTCTGTGCTTCATGCTCCCCCCCAACTCTGCTCGGTGCTACATGCACCCCCAACTCTGATCTGTGCTACATACAGCCCGCCCAACTCTGCTCTGTGCTACATACACCCCCCAACTCTGCTTTGTGCTATATACACCAACCAACTCTGCTGTGTGCTACATATACCCCCCAACTCTACTCTGTGCTACATGCACCCCCCAACTCTGCTCTGTGCTACATACACCCCCCAACTCTGCTCTGTGCTACATACACCCTCCAACTCTGATGTGTGCTAAATATACCCCCAACTCTGCTCTGTGCTACATATACCCCCAACTCTGCTCTGTGCTACATATACCCCCAACTCTGCTCTGTTCTATATACACCGGCGGCCCTGAATATATCTATTTAGCTGTTTCCTGGAGTTTAGCTATAAAAGTATATATATGTATAATGTACTTACTTATGTGGGTCTGGGAACCAGATGTGAACCGGCCTGTGAGGAGGATCAGGATGCCCAGAATGTATGTTGAATGGCGGCTGATATATTGCCTGAGGCTGCCGCCATTCAACATACATTCTGGACATCCTGATCCTCCTCACAGGTCGGTTCACATCTGGTTCCCAGACCCACATAAGTAAGTACATTATACATATATATTTATTGTTCCTGTCACCTTCCCTGATATGTTCGGTCCAGGCAGTCAGCTGACCTAGTTTTGCGCGCTCTTGTTGTTCTAACAAGGCTGGTTAGACCCCACAGAGCCCTGCTACCCTGGTGAGGCCCCCTCAAAGCTCTGGTGAGACCCCCCTCTGTATGTGCGTTATAATTAATCGAAATTAGTCGATTAATCGATAAAAAAAAAATTCGATTAATCGAACAGGAACATTTTAATCATTACCAGCCCTACATTAATGATATAAACAAATGGAGAGCTGCATTCATTTGTTTCTTTATATCTGCCTGGAGTCCACCTTTGAAGTGCTTGAAAGAAGATGGGTCAGTATCACAGCCGGTGCATGAAGGCACTGCATTCTGAAAAAGACCTCAAAGTCAAAACACATTCTCTGCACATAATGCAGTGTCTTCTTATGGCAGCTGTGATGTTTGTTTTTAATGTACATCTATAAATGTTGAATTTATTTTACATGGAGATGCTGATCATCCTCTTTCAAGTTGATTGTGTCATTGCCTTGAAGCACACTTAAGTGTGCATTCCACTGTGGATGACAGAACCAGCAAACTACAACTAAGGTTTAAACTGCTTATATTTTGCCTTCACTTTTTCCTCCCTTTATACCCCCCCCCCCCCTTACATCCCTGCGTCCATCGGGTAGCTCATCCTTTATATTTTAGTATTGTGGGGTTTTATGAGGCAACAGACTTTGTTTTCAAAAAAAATCTCAATAATTGGAAAAATCTCAATTATTCCAATTAATTAAAATCCATCAACGACGTTAAAAACTATGTTTGCATGCATGATTCCCCCAAAAGCGTTTGTACTGGAATGACAGTAATAAATTAAATTAATAAATTGACTTTTGTTGATTTCACTTAAATGGTAACATAACATAGTATAGTAACATAGTATTTGAGGTTGAATAAAGACATAAGTCCATCAAGTCCAACCTGTTGTGTGTGTGTGTGTATAGGTCCATGAGTGTTCTCATTCTTAAGAGTACCTGTACCCTTGTACATTTCGGTCTCTCAGGAAGTCGTCCAAAAGCCTCTTGAATGATTCCAGATTAATTTGCGGAAATTACCGCTTGAGGCAGTGAGTTCCAGACCCTAACCGCGCGAACTGAGAAAAAACCCCTTCGCCCCTTGTGTTTGAATTTTTTTTCTACCAGTTTTAGGTGGTGTCCTCTAGTCTTTGTTATGGAATTAATCTCAAAGAGTTTGTTGCTAATGTTGCTATGACTATGGAACATTTTGTACATGAAAATCATGTCCCCCCTTAATCTCCTTACTTCCAACGTAAACATGTTTAAATTTAGTAGCCGTGTCTCATAGCTCAGGTCCTCCATCCCCTTTATGAGTTTGGTCGCCCTCCGCTGGACTTTCTCCAGTTCAAGGACATCCTTTCTGTGGACCGGTGCCCAAAACTGCACCGCATACTCCAGGTGGGGCCGAACCATTGATGTGTAAAGTGGCATAATTATAGACCTATCCCTGCAAAATATTCCCTTCTTGATGCAGGACAAGATTCTACTAGCTTTGCTTACAGCAACCTGGCACTGTAATTTATTATTCAGTTTGTGGTCTACAATGACCCCCAAATCTTTCTCCATTTCCGACTTCCCTAGCGGCATACCCATAATTGTATAACCCATTTGCCTATTATTCCTCCCAAAGTGCATAACTTTGCATTTATCGACATTAAACCTCATCTGCCACATAGTTGCCCATTCCCCTATTTTATCC